TTTTCGGTTGATTGGAATTGTATGGTTCTCAATTACGGACTTCGACAACCTTGCACCGAGAACGGCTGCTGACATCTCTAGTTTCGGAATAGACAGGAGTTTCAATGGCGCAACCTTCGTTTTCGCCGACACTAGGGAGCAACGAACTCTGGATTCTTCGACGATTCGAAAATACGCAACAGCCGCAAATGCTTGTACAGATGCGTCAACGAAAATATGCAGCTCCGTGGAATTTCGACGTGATCCAACTGCTTCAACAACTTGATTCATCTCTTCCATTGTTCAAGCAGTGCGTCAGGTATACGCGCATTCCAGCTAAGTCCTGACCGCCAGATGTGTTGCACGAGCACCTTTCCATGGACGACGAAGACAGCTACTAGCCCAATGGGATCGAAGATGCTCATTACGACCCGCAAAACTTCTCTTTTCGTCGGAACTATGTCATCCAGCAAAAGAGTTTGTATTTCATCCCTAAAAACACCTTGAAAGATGAAGACATTCGGTTCTGGCTTCATGATCATGCCAAGAGCGCGCTCGTAGGCAGCCGACCTGTCGACGAGAAGTTTTTTCGGCGACTCCGCTTGCTGTTCCCCGACCCGTATTAGAACCTCACACGAGTTTGACAGCCTTGGAGTGTACCAGCTTCACCTGCTCTGCCCGGAAATCATCAACCTAACGATGATTCGTGATCGCTTCCGCCGCTCGTGGAAACTGTTCGGAAAATTCCTCAGCATTCCGATTTTTAATAAACTGTCCTGCAGAAGGTGAACATTTGGAGCCGAAAAGGCTTAGATGGATCGTCCCGCCACAGGAACAACTGAGCAGGTGAAGTATCTCGCAGATATCGGCGCTGAAGGCCACCTCGAACTGGCGGAATGAACTCAAAACTGCTGTGAGCGGTATGAAAATACCCGGGCCAGCGAGAAGAGCAGAATTGAACGATTGTCCCTGGACTTCAGCTGCCGCATCCCACACTGTTAGTGTCGACACTAACAGTGTGGGATGCGGCAGCTGAAGTCCAGGACAATCCAGGGGTGGGTGTTTTTAGGGATGAAATACAATCGTACTTTGTTTGGCTTCCTCGGATTCGTAACGACGTTCAACGGCAGGAACCAGGTCCGTTCGGGATCGAAACTGGCTAACTCCTCTTTGCTCACATTATGAAAGTACCCTTTGGCTTGGTACTCGATGATGATGATGACGATGACTGGGTCTTCACATTTTCATATAAGTCCGGCTTCAATGCTAGACGACGTTCGATACAGCGGAATCTCTTTTCCGCCATGGGTCTGCTGTTCGTAAACTTTACGTTACCGTGTTTCCACAGCAAGCCTGTTTGGAACCTTCCTGACGCTGTCCGTACAGCTGTGCCTGGCACGACTGTCGTCGTCGCTCTTCATCTTTGAAGACACAGGTCCCACACTTTCCAACGCAAAAAATTTCTTCACTAGATCATGGAGCTCTTGATTGAATGAACGAACGGAAATATGGAAGAGTTGATGGATTGATCGTTCATCTCCAGCGGATGTGCTCCCGTAGACCACCCAACCTAGCCTGGTTTTTGCAGCCATTGGGCTTCCTCTGACTCCTTCTCTGCTTTTCCGTGTTGCCATCACGAACGAGTTATCCAAACCTATCAGAATTGTAGGGACAGCATTGGCGTAGCTTTGTACTGGTAGTCCTTGAAGATGCGGAAACTCATTGCAAAGTTCACTGAAGTCCAAAGATTGAACAGGAAGGTTCAGACTCTTGACGGTGTGCACTTCCTTCAAATCGTGCTGCGTAGCATAAGCTGCACTCGATATCTGCAACTTTATCAGCTGTGACTCGTCCTCTGAGCGTTCGATGTCACTTTACAAAATGGAGTTAAGGCCTTTTCAATTGTTGGTCTTGAGTTGTTCACTGCAGGCAGAGTGGGTGTACCTCACCGGTAACTCCGAGTTCTTCGGCTACCTTCGATTCCACCAACGCCCTAGAAGAACCATCGTCGAGAAAGGCATACGTTTGGAAAGTTTTGCCATTCCCATACAGCAATACGCTGTTGCTTGAACTGACGATGAACGGCACAGTAACCGTTCATCGTCAGTTCAAGCAAACTTGCAGAGTTCGGAGGTTCAGTCGATCGGGGTAATTGTGGATTTCCGGGGTGAAGAAGCTTGTGATGGCACTCCTCACAACCGCTCTCTCCACCGCTCTCTGCACACGGCTTAGGCTTGTTCCATCTACGTTCGGTAGTAGGGACATTCTCCACTTTGTTCTCCTCTGCAGCATTCGTGTTCACGTACATCTTCTCCTTCGTCTTCGGTTTCTCCTGCTTGTTACGATGCTCATCCGCTTCGTTCAGGAAGTTCACCTCACTAGCGGCCGTCACGATCTGGTCCATGTAGCTCCCAAATGTGATGAGGTTGACGTTGGTATGTTGATGTTTGGAGAGAGACCAGTTTAGTTTGAGTGTGGCTGGAAACTTGCTCACCAACTCCTGAAGCAGTAAGGGATTCAAAAGATGATCGTTAAGACCTGCAGCTTGAAGGTGACTACAAAGGTTTTTGCATGCCAAACCGAATCTGATCAGGCTCCCCAGATTTTCCGACTTAGGGTTTTGCGTAGCCCGCACCCTGGTGAGCAACGAGTTGATGAATATCAAGACTGATCAGAGAATCAAAGGACAGTTCCAATAATTTCAAGAAAATTTGTAGAGACACTCGGCAAGCTCCGATAGAACTTCTGGATAGTGTAAACATCCGGAAAACGTGAAAGTATTTTAAGGGTGCTTTATCGTGGAGATATCAAGAACTTTTAAAAAAAGGTGAAAATTTAGAGAATATCAACGAAGTTCCATTAATTAAAAAAATGCGAGAACTTTTAGCAAGCAGCGATAAAAAATCTTCAATAAATTCCAGAGATCTTAAAATTCAGACAATTTCATGATATTCAGCGAAGTTCCGAGTACTTCGATTACGATCAGATAGCTTCATAATAATCCCATTATCTTTAGCAAATTTGCAGCGACCTACAAGGAATTCTGTGGAATTATGGGGTATTACAAGAATTATATGATTGATTCAAAAACGTCAGGGAATTTTGAATATCAGAAAATTTTCCGGATTAGTAAACAAATATGGAGAACTTCATGTAAGCAGAGTTCAGGGAAAATAAGTGAGCGTTTATAATGGTTAGAATACTTAAGAAAAATTGCCAGAACTTCAAGGTAAATCAATTGATTTCAGTAATGTTTCGGGTTCTTAAAACATACTGATCAATTCAGGACTGTCTAGAGAATTTTAAAGAAATTCAATGATCGCTTAGGTAGCTTTAATAGCACGAGGAAACTTCCATTAAATTCCAGTTTTATGGAAGTTTCATGAACTTTAGAAAAATAATGAGAACTTCAGAGAAAATCATAAAACTATATTAATTATTTCGTTCTAATTCCACGAAAAATGCGGGAGCACAAAAGTTGCAAAAATTTAGAAAAACTTCGAAAACTTCACAGAAGGACAGTGGTCTTCAAAAACATTTCGAGAGCTTCATAGAAATCTATGGAGCTTAAGAGGAGATCCGCGAATTTCAGGAATTTTTATGAACATAAGCAAAATGCGGAAGCATTAGAAAGAAGTTTATTAAGCTCCGAAAATTGGAGGAATTTCAGGGAGAGGTCAGTTCCATTAGTTTCAGAAAATAAGTGGGAAATTTACAGCAGTTCACAAATTATCAGATAATTTCAGAGACGTTAAATTTAACTGAGGTCTTCGCATAAGTTCAGAAGTTCACTGAAGCTTAAATATTTTAAGAACGGTTCAATTACATTCAGCGCAGTACAACAAGCTTCATGAGAACTGCAAAAACGTTAGAGCAGTTTTGAGAATTTCAGAAAAGAACAGAGAACCTCAGAGAAGTTCCGTTAGCTATAGAGAAGTCACATTAAGTTTAAAGAAGTTTAGTTAAACCTTTAGAAGAGATTAATGATCGTTAGAAAAATTTAGGAAACTTTAGGAAATCCTATAAAGTTTATGAATTTGATGAGTAGTATTGTGAGCATTAGGCTAGTTTCTCAAACTTAAAAAGAACTTCAAGGCAGATTCATTAACTTCAGGAAAAAATTAGGAAGTTCTCATATTCAATGGAAATTTCGATTTCTCGGAACTCAATTTTCTTTTAGTTTTCCTCGTAATTACCTTGAAATTCTCCACAATAAGACACCCTTTGGAAAGATGATCAGAATATTCATAGAAATCATTTCAGATTTCCTTTGGAATCTCACTCCTTCCCTTGGAATTCTACTCACATTGAAAGTCTCCTAAGAAATTATTGGAATTTCTGCTCACAAATTCCTTAGATTTCTTCTCATAATTTGTAAGGGGTAACTCTCCTGAATTTATTTTCCGAATTTCCTTTGAAGATTTCCTTGTAATCCGATTTAATTGTAATCCGTCTTTTAGTATTTAAAAAAAATCCAAGGATTTATGCTCCGAATTTATTTTCTCCCACAAACTTTATGAAATTATCCTCAGAATGCCCTTGGAATTTTCCTTTGAAGTTCACAGGAGTTGTAAGGAGCACAGAAATTCCTAAGAGTTTTCAATAAAATTTACTTTTAATTCAATTCAGGGTCACTTTTGGTCACAACATCTACAAATATAAGTCACTATTTAGTCACTTATTTCTTTAGCATGTTCACTAAAATCACTATTTTTGACAGCAGTGATAGCTACCAGCCCTGCATGTGTAAAAATAGCTATTTCTAAGTGTGTAGCCTTTCGGTGCACCTTAGTATACTAGAAATATAAATGCATATAAGCAACTGTAAATCTACGTGTGCAACAAGGCAGACTGTTTCTTATGCTTTCTCTCCACCAAACACTCCCATTAGCTACTGTGAACATGTGCGTGAAGAGGCGGTACCTGCCGACAGTCGTCGTCAACGCAACTTCCTGTGTAATCTTTTTCATCACAGCAACTCATCGTCTACATTGTTTCCTTTTCTTTTGTTCCCATTCCAGTCGACATCGAGCAAAACGACCTAACGTCACCGGAACCGTCAACCGGGTCCCTCGCGCACGCCAAATCCGACGCCGTGCAGACGTCCAACTTCCAGGCTAGTTCGGGTCTGTGTCGGAACCTGCTGGCCCTGCAGTGCGGGATCGTTGCACTTCTGTTACTCTACCACCGGAGGGCCGCTGCAGCGTGGTTCCTCTTTTCGTCGCTAACGTAGATCGCAGCAGACTTCTTTTTTTTCGTTTGACTCTGCTCGTCTTCGCATGGCTACCGGATCGAAACAATCTCCCACCCCTGCCCCTGAGTGAGTGCTGCAGCTATGGAAAACAGAAGTGGAAGAACAATTGCTTTCGAGATAATTGCGTCGTCGCGTCCGGGGGTGAATTCCAACATGCAAGACGAGCCACAGTCAGCCAAAGCCAACGGATCGAGGCCAACGAGGAGGTAAGTGACTTTCTATTCTCCAAATGCAAATGGCAGTCAGTCAGAGACAAAATGTTTATTTTTACCGTTGTATAATGTTCGCAACAAAACCCCCCACCAGTGGAACAAATCATAAAAACATTGATCCCTTTTATGATCCACGTGGGCTGTGGAAAAAAAAAAGTTTTATTAAGATCTGACATTATCCATCGAAGCACGTCATGCGGGCGAGTGCTGTTCCACAAAAATATCATGTTTCACTAATTCGAATGCAACTTTTATAGCATCAAAGTAAACCTACTTTTCATGTCCCGCGGGTCATTGGAAGGCAAATCTAAAAATAGCAAGCGCTAAAAATGAAACTGAAACAACTATGGAAGCAACAAGCGCTTTTCGTCAGACCGTGTGGGTGGTGGCTTAGCGGCAATGAATGTAGAATGTGCAAACAGAAACATCAAACCTTAAAAAAGCACACCATCAGTGAACCTCAGCGAGCCAGACTGGTGTGAAAATTTATTACAAACGCTGGCTGCGCTGTGCTGAGAAAGGGCTTTTATGTGCCGGAGTGAACCACTCCGGAATAAGCGAAGCGGAAAAAGGCTTACTTTGATTTGTCAGCTTCACAATGGGAACAAGAGCAGGCACACTAGACGGCGTCGTCGTCGTCGTCGTCGTCGGCGTCGCTTTCTGACGGTGGATGTTTGTTCGGTTCCGAATGACTCTCTCTTTTTTTACGATAGGAACATTCGCAAATCCCAACGAAATGGAATTTCAACTCAATTCGCCAGATTCATTTCAGATAAGTCGAAAATAAACACCGTAAACCAAACCCCAGGCAAACAAGCTCGCTGTTTACTCTTAATTTTCCGTGCACAAACATGGCCAACAGCGGGACATCATACAACATAATCGTTAACATATTTCGCGCTGTGATTGTGATATTTTCTGCGGTGAACAAAAAAAATGAATTCATTTCATCAATAATGCGGATCATCCTTTTTTCTCCTGTTTGGTAATTTCAAACCGGTTATGGCTTTAATCTGTGCCATTACACCGGTTGGCACTTTGTTTTGGCTGTTGTTTGCCGAGCCAAATTAGCAACGCTGTCGATGGGACGCAGCGGTACCATTATAGTTTTGGTCGTCCTTATTTTCTTACGTGTGGTTTGGGAAAAAAAATACTGCCGTTAAGTGGCATGTGCTTTTAAGGTTTGATGGCTTGTTTTGGTTCTAATGGAGTTAGCATTGCTGTTAGTTTTAATTTTTAAGGAAAAGTGCTTGTAAACTCAAGAAGATGGAGGAAGGCATGATGAGAATGGTTGCTCACAATGAGCAGTTCCACGCCAAATGACGACCGATCAGAAGCGACCTGCTCCGATTTGCATGAAACTTTGCACAAATGTTTGTTATGGGCAATGATTCACATTTTTTGTAAAATTCGGCCATTTTGAATCATAAAAAATTTCTCAATATGGCGTATTTGACATTTTTCAATAAATCGTAGCTCGAAATCGAAATGACGTCAAGCGCAAAGTTGTGAATAGTAAATTATTTCTAGGAAAAATTACACGGTAATTTTTTTTTTTTGTGAATTTGAGTAAAAACTCAAAAAATGTGACACAATTTTAATTAACAAAACATGTCCTTGTTCAATGCTTTTGATAAATAAAGATCACGAAAAATGCAGTTCTGAAATATTGCAAACCTTCACTGAAACATTTACTAGAATCAACTTTATTTTAAACTTTACCTAATTTTACCACCTAAAGATCCCAGATCTTCCCAACTGCAATATTGTTGTAAAGTTCCCTAATAATAAAAAAAAAGTAGAAGGGTCTGTGCCTAGGGGCACGAACGGAAGCTTGACGTAGGACAACTAGTGGACGGAACAAATGTGAACATTTAGTTCTTTTAATTAATCAATCATCAATTATCTTAACTCTTTCCGTTTTTTATTTGTAAGCGTATCAAATTTGTAGTATTTATTTCAAAGAGAAAGTTGATGAATAGAATCCAAGGGACTGTCAACTTGAGTATTTTCGATTCATCTCCCCGACTTTAAAAGGTGTATTTTGAATTCTTTGTTATTTATGAATTTTAAAGTTTTGTGCATTTTGGTATTAAAGTGTATTCAATTCACCCCTCACAGGATTTCCTTCCGAATTATATGAATGGAGAGGGGCGGAAAGTATCGTTTGTGCAGAATATGTAAAAAAGGAGGGAATTCGAGAGATTGAACCCGTGAGCAGGCATGGAAAATCATTTGCATTCACGTCAAACGGACGTCACCACGGTCGAACGTGTTTACAAATCATTGCAGTTTTTATCGCATCGCCGCGAGTGAAATCTTGTGAGTTTTCATCTTTAGTGAGTCGGAACAGTTTCGGGGGCGAACAGGGTGTCACCCCATCGTGGAAGATTCCCTTTTTCCCATTTCAGTCAGTGGCAATTACGTGTGGTAATTAAGAGGCAAGCGCATAGCGACGCAATAGTACGGGAGCCATCGTTGTCAAGGGGGCACGCTCGAAAAATCGAGGAACTTGCATGCAAGATCCGAATAGATTGCACGCAAGCCAGTGCATCTAAATTGACGGTTGGCGAAGCTTGTTCGTTACCTCCGTCGAAAGTTGGTTCAGATTAATTAATTAAACGGCAACTAATCATCACTAAACTATTTCCTGTGTGGCGCGAGTGGTACTTCTCCTGGCCCTTTCCCCTTTTTTTCATCAAAAGTCAGCACCTTCACCGAATTCAGTGGTGGCTCAAGGGGGATAGTACCTTTTCCCCCAGCGGTGATGCTGGACGGGAATTTTCCTCCGCTCCCCCCCCGACAAGGGAGGGGGTCCATATAATGTTATTGATGGATCTTACACCGGCGCAACCCTACCGGGTTTCATGGACAGAGACGGCAACCATGGTGAACTGATCGTTTTGAAACTGGCATTGGATTCCGGTAAAGCACCGGAGAACCCATTCCTCTTACGGACATCTATTGAAAGCCATATCAGTGGCATGATCGACGGTGTTTTTCCAGAGGCACGTGGTCTGACATATGCCCTAAAAGTGCGGAATCAAAAGCAGGTGGACAAACTCCTGGAAATGACTGAACTGCTAGATGGGACGAAGATAAAAATCACTAAACACACCGGACTCAACTCCGTTCGGTGCGTGATCAACATCCAAGGTGTGGAGAAAATGTCCGACGAGGATATACTAAAATATCTTTCCAATCAAAAGGTCACATACTTGCGGAGAATCTCACGCAAAATCGGAGGCATCGAGCAGAAAACATCAACGGTCATCTTGACCATAGAGAGTACCGTGCGACCAACACACATCGATGTGGGATACCAGCGATGCAGAACAAGACCTTATTACCCATCACCAATGCTATGCTACCAGTGCTATCGCTTCGGACACACCAAGGCCCGTTGCCAAGAGACCAACCCCACCTGCGGACACTGCTCTAAGCAGCACGAGATCGTCCAAGGTCAGCGCTGCTCTGTCGAAATGTTCTGTCCCAGATGCAAAACAAACGACCATGGCATCTCCAGCAGGAAATGCCCGGTCTACGCTTATGAAGATGCTATCCAACACATCCGCGTGGATCACGGAATATCCTACCCGGCTGCGAAACGGCTATTCGACGCACAAACCGACAGGAGCTCCTTCGCCGCGGTAACAACTGCGAGCAAGGATAAGGTAATTGAAGACTTATCAGAGAAGGTCAACATGCTGGTCCGAAATAGTCAGGAAAAGGACAAGAAGATCGCGGAACTGGAGAACACGATCAAATATGGTCATCCAACGACAGATCTCGGCAGCGAAGCCCACGAATTCCGGAAGGACATCGCCGAGCTTCGCAAAGAAGTTCAGAAGAAGGATCAACATATCTCCCAACTGCTCGAAGCCCTGAAAAAGCAGAACGATACCGCTGTACAAGTAAAACAACTCCGCAAGGAACTTCTTCAGAAGGACGAGCGCATCAAAATTTTGGAAAAAGGACAACAAAAAGCTAACCGAATGGAGCTCACAAGAAAGTACGGCACTATCGAGGATCTCGTGGCTAAGGTGAAAGTCTTGCAACACTCCTCAAACACAAAGGACAAGGAGCTCGCGTCGCTTCGCAAGATGAAAGACACGGCTACAGACGAAATTTCTCTCCCACCACGACAAACTCGTAAAACAAAAAAGACCACCCAGCAACCGACGATACCCCACCAAAACCAGGAACTACTGGAGGAACCTCTTCCCCCGGTGCCGTACACCGGCACTAAGAAAAAGGTCTCCCAGCAGCCTAGATGTGAAAAAGATGCCAAACGGTGCAAGGAAGGTTCCCCGGCTAGATTCTGTGACTCCGACGATGACATGACGCCAGAAGAAACACGACTCTCAGCAGAAGATTCCAACCCAACCCTTGAAGAAAATATGGACACAGACTTTCTTATCTCATCCGGCGAGGAGGAAGTGGTATTCCCGGACTCCCCAATGGGTATATAAGTCCCGTCCTCGTTACTCAGATATTCCAACTACGAAAATTACTTTCACTCAACGCACTCATGGCCCCATCACCAGCCAATAAGAGCGTAATAAATTCCACAGATTACGAGGACATCGGACAACCTCCACACCGACACACCAGAACACCACGTAACAAACCTGAACTACAAACCAGCGACTTGGATAAGGCCTTGGGCAGCCGGGGCCCCACCGGTGCGGAAGTTTTCGGCCAACCGGAACCGGTGGACACCTCCCGGCGCTTATTGGCAACCTCCACAGACCGATCCCATAACATGGCTCGTCTCACTTACCCAGTGGAGCAGCGGAGCAGGCGAGGCACCACCGGTGTGGACGTCTCTGCCTCTCCAGAACTGGTGGACACCCCTCTACCCTCCACTGTGGCTGGAAGAGGGACGGACAAGGGAGGAAACTCCTATTCCCCTATGGATAACGGGGGAGCGAAGGCTACTATATTAAACTTGGACAGCGCGGGAATCAAGACAGGATCGAACGATTACCTCA